ATCACCACAGAGACAGTGGGGAGTTTTCCCCACAAAATTTTATTATAATTGCTTCCAGGCCCAAGGGCATATTATCATGTGGAAGTGTATATTTTCAGGTAGTGTTTCATTTTTTTAACCTTTTGAAATCTTGAGAGTAAAAAATGCTCCTTTTGTTTGTTTTTGGAAGGCAGATATTCTGGTTCAATTAATTTTGATTAACCCTGGAGTATATAGTCTGTAGTTATCATAGAAAATTATGTTTTCACAAATACCCAAAGAAAAAGATTCTACTCTTTTGTGAGCTGGATAGTTCAGGTGAAAGTGGTTACTGCATGCAAAGAAAGTGAACATTTCACAGTTGACTATGAGTTGTTGTCAAGTGAGCCTATATATGTTTTTGAATGTGCTGGAGCTTAAACCCAGGTTAAAGCATAAATTTTTTAAAGTTTTAAAAAATAGGAATGATATTGTCATGCAAAAAAAATAAGGTCTTAGCACAATAGTTGACTGGAGGTGGTTACAGGGATTAGTATCAACTGAAATTTCCTAGTGCAGTGTGGCATCTATTAACTTACTTAAAAAAGCATTAGATCATATAATGAAAATATTCAAATTTAGAAAGATAAGAAAGGTATGAAATGACCTATCAACTTCAGAAGAAAGATAACCACTTTTAGACCTCAAGTTGTAAAATAACACACCAATGTTTCTGTTGGAAAATGGTAGAGCCTAACACAACAAGCTAAGCTTAGTCAATAGACTTTCTGCCTACACACACTATAACATCCCACTGTGTGAACAATCTGTGCCACTGCAGGGGCAAAAAGGTGAGGTACTGTTCCCCACTTATCACAGAAGTCACAGCCAAAACCCTATCATGAACACCTGTTAACAGCAAAAGCTATAAAAATTTATTTCACTGCAGTTTTGTGTAATACAGAAACTTCCAAAAATGGAGACTCACAGGCTGAGGCAGGAGGATGGCTGTGAGTTTGAGGCCAGCCTGTGCTACAAAACGAGTTCAAGACCAGCCTGAGCTGCACAGTGAAACTGTCTCAATGAACAAAACAAAACAAAGCAAGACAAAACAAAACAAAATACAGTAAAACAGAGAAAACTGAAGCCTCAAAGACTCAGAAAACTGTGCATCTGTGCTTGAGTTGGATGAAGAATGGGCAGCTGTACAGAAATATGATTAGACACATGGTATAACGCAATAGACCTAGAGGGAAACCTACCAAGGCATGACTGTTGAGATTCTTTTTGGCCTCTGTGTATTATTCCTCCTTTCAGGTATGGGGCACAATCCCTCTGAAATGAGGGTCTTATGATCTACTATCAGACGAGGTAGTGTAAAGTCTAGAGTAATATTTCTTGATTTCATGGCTGGCTTTGAACCAAGTTCTGTGACTCAGCTTAGGAAGAAGAACTCTAGTTTCCATGGCCTGTCTTGGTGGAAAAACAGATGCAGGAGCAAGCAAGGCTGTAGATCCGAAAAAGACTGCTTCTGAGACCCCTCATTATTCTTTAGGTCCAAGTATGCAGCCTACCAATGCACCCCATTTTGGGGTGTCACGTGCTAAGCACCAACAACATGGCACTGTACGGCTGAGAGAATGTGTAGGCAAAGAGGCTGAAATAAGGTATTACTGATACAGAATGGATCTCACTTTTCTTATTCTTTTGTGATGTTATAGGAAGAACTCATATGGGAATCTAATATAATATTTTGAAGGGTAAATTACAAAAGAAGTCAATAAAAGAAAGTACCCTATAGAAACTTTTGAATACTCTTTATAAAATAATAGCAAAGATAATAATCAATCAGAAACCCATCACTTATCACCATGTCTTACCAATTCAGAGTCACATACTGTCAAGTATTTTTTTTATCAAAATATGAGTTTTAAAAAATCACATTTAGTACTCTCCATTTATCCTTACCCTTTTTAGAGGGATTGAAAAAGCCATAGGCCTGTTCATTGGTTACAATAAGTTTCATTGTAATTATAAAATATAATTCAGGAAAATTTTAATTATAACTTATAGGAAAAATAATGAAGAAGGAAGATGTTTGTTGTACCTAAAATAAGCCTGGTGTGAAAAGAAAAATCTCTTTAATTCTGAAGACGATGATTCGTAATGCATGTTCTGAGGACTCTTTGCCTGAGAATGACTTGGGAAACCTGTTAGGAATGCTGCAAATTCCTGGGATCCATGCCAAATCTACTGAGCTCTTTGCAGGGGAATTAAATTCAGAACCTGTTTTACGACATACATAGACACAGATTTTTCTGAGGTATGGATAATTTTCAGAGTCAATTTTTAAAGGGAAGCTTTAGCCTATACATGAATTTAGAACTACTGACCAAATCAAAGTAAATCAGTCAGATTAGGTAACTCTGAAGATGTGGAACAGACAGAAGTGAAGCATTTTCTGGTGTATCCCTGCTTTGAGCATCTTATCCTGTGCATGTCAGGCATTCAAGCAATATATATGAAATGAATGAAGAAATACAACTTTATCAAGTGTACAAAGACAAATATCACTTGGATGCAAAATATGCATGTTACCTTTCTTCACTGATCATAGGTCACTGCTAGGAAATCACAATTAGGAATAGTCAAAGCCAGCTGATCATTTCATGTGTCACACATATTCAATACTATTTGAGTTTTGTGTTTGTTTGTTCGGTACTGGGAATCAAACTCATGACCTTGCCTTTGCCAGGCAAGTGCTGTGCAGCTGAGCTATATCCCCAGCCTCAATACTAACCCTAACTATGGGAAGATAAACAGCAAGTAGAAGACAAGCTTTAAATATAACACCAAACTCTTTAGTACGTTTTTGTTAGTAGAACACATAGAGATATTGATTTTGTTAACAATTAGTTTTTTTTAAAAAAAATTAGTGTTATCCACAGTACAGTTTCTATATTTATTATCTCAAAAAATCAAGAATATGAATGTTTTCATATTATCATACTCAAGAAAGTTTACTTTTGGTAATGAGAAAAGTGAGATACTCATTTTCACATGTTTATTCGTTTACTTAGTTATTTAGCAAATACTTATTAATTGCCTATTTTGTGGATAGTTAAAGAAGATATAGTCCCTGCCCTTGTAAAACTTATAGCTTAGCCAGCCAGATGGCGCACACTTGTCGGTACTCTGGCCTACTCTACGGGCTGAGGCAGGAGATTCAAAACTTTGAGACCAGCTTGGGCAATTGAGCCAGACCCTGACTCTGAAAAAATGAACAAATGAACAAACAGCAAAAAGGAGAAGGAAGTGGCTATGCAGTAGAATTCTTGCCTAGAAAACAGTGGGTTCTGGTTTCAATCCTTAGTACCCCACAAGGACCAAAACACAAAACAAAGTAAACAAAGAATAAAGAAGAAAGAGTCATCGCATAAAATATTGAGAGAAATGGTTAAGTTTTATATCACAAAGAGATTAAGTTAAATAGGAACCTATGCACTTGCTGTGTCCTATTTAATGGGTAATCAGTAGCTTATCAGGGACTATGATTTTTTTTATTCTTAGGCCTCTGCCTTGAGCCTGCTCTGAAACCACATAATTGAACAGGTAAATAATGACCTTGACACTGAAGGTCAGGGATGAGCTGCAGGAATACTGCCTCCATTGACATTTTGGGACAAACCCAGAAGAAAACACTTTTTAATTTTTTTTCCCCTTAAGTCACAGATGGAGTGTGATGCTCTGATTTGGGTCTTACTCACTGGGAGTATTTGTGAACAAAAGACATTAGCATTTACATCAAATTCTCTCTTTGTTGAACCAAGCTGTCATAGGCTTAATAAACATGTACTCAAGTGTTTACAGACCATCAGTATAATCTGCAGAGATATTTCCCTTTCCTCTTATCTTTTGTCAGGGAGCCCTCCCTCTCTGCCATTGTTAACCTGGGTGTGCCTACAGCTGCTGCTTTCGTAACAATCTTTTTAAGCTCTTTAATAGTTTTGTCTACTTTAATGGACTAGCCTGGAACTACTGAGGCCACGATTGCATAATTTTAACAAAGAGATTACACACAGGCACACACTGGTGTCCCTTAATTAAGGATGTGATGAGTAGATGAAGGTATTTGGCAATAGCTGAAATCCACAAAGTCATTAAAAATTCTTCCCCGATACTACTAATTTGTTTGTAATAGCCTTCTAATTGCAGGATCTAAACAAAGACAAATGTGAGTAGGACTGTATGTAAAAAGTATCAGTCCTATCTTTTCTGGTTAAAACAATTATTTCCACTTCTAGTACCATGGAAATAAAGTACAGAAAGCTATGTCTCTGTGTGTGTGGTGGACAAGTTTCTAAGGCTCAGATGCCTTTCCTGAAAGGTGTTCTTCCTGTGTAAAATGTTTGTTGTCGCTTATAGGATTGTGTAGTCTAGGAGAAATAACAGAGGCGCAGGTGCTTTATGAATAATCAGATGGGAAATGGAAGATGATCAAATTTCCTCCTAGACTCTATGAGTCAAACGGGAATGACAAAAGATTTCCCTCTCAGTCCAGAGGAGAGTCAAACCTAACTTTAAAGTCTTGTGGGCAAATGATGATAATGCTGTGTATAAGTAGTATCCTTAAAGACATGAAACCTGTTTTTTAGATTTTTTTTTTTTTTTTACCCTATCATCCAAATACAGCCAGAGTTTGAGATTAAACTCAGCAGCTGTTTAACAGGGCCAGGAACACAGATGAACTCTAAGACATTTCCTTCAAGCAAGGTCATTTCAGCAAGGGGCGCATTTGGAATTCGCTGTGACAGAGTCAGAGGGAAGAGCGCCACCTGTCGGCCCTCCCAGCCGCCCTCCCGCACATCCTCCACCCGAGAGCTGCGTGAAGGATGCGGTTCCAGGTGGCCTGCAGCGCGCCTGAGCGTGCTGGTATCACGCTCTGGAATGGGAGGGAGACATATGCATTTTAATCAGTTTTTGAAACAACCAGGCTTCTCTTCTCATTTACTGGAATGGGGGGGAAAGTTCACTTTTATTACCTTAAAGATGCCAAACTGTGCCATTTTATGACTGTGGGAAGCTGGAAGTCATTTCCGAACTCTTTTGGCAAGGGTGCTATGGAGAGCATCCAACTCAGCCCTTTAAGTGTCTTCTGAGAACCACCACGCAGCCGGTGATTTACCGTCTTCAGGAGCAAAGAGGACCCTTTCCGTTCTGAAACGAAAGGCGAGGTGACGCGCTTAGAAGTGTCTCCATGAGGCTTAGGAGAACCGAGACAGCCCGAAGGTGGAAGAATGGGTCGGATCCCCACTTTCCAGGGTGCGCTTTTTAATCTGCTTGGGAGAGGACGCTGGCACCCTTACAAGTGGTGATTTGGGGGGTGTTGGTAGATGTGTGTTCAGGCCACGTGCACTCAGAGGGCCCCTCGTCCTCTGGCTGCTTGCAGCCTAAATGGGTTTTTGGGACAACTTCACAGCGAGTTCAGTGGCGTGGTTTAAACAACATGGACGGAGTGACGTGCACACGTATGTAGATGCACGCATGCACACGTCCATCCTGCGGAGATACCTAAACTTTATAATCACACATTCCACCTACTAAACAAAATTAAACAGCAATGAAAAGAGGCTTTATTTTTGCTTCTACTTTGCAACCAGAGATGGGAAGAATCCAGCTATCCTTTTTGCTCAGTAGCAATCAACAAGAATTTGAATTTTTGTGCTCTGTAGCTGACGCTTGACCTCGGGGTTTAACGTCATGTAACTGGGGGCTAACTATTGGTTATCAGTTAAAATATCTTCACACACACATGTGTTTTACGCCACGTTATTTTCTGTTGTTGGGGATTGAACCCAAGATCTCCTGTGTGCTACGTATCAGCTCTACCACTGAGCCACATTCCCAGCCTTGTCAGCACTCTTCTGTTTGGAGACTTGGTCTGGCTAGTTGGTGGATATGGTTCACAGCTCTAAGCCCTTGGTCACTGGAGGCAAAAACACTGTAAGAGGGAAACAAGATATGGTGTTCACTACTAGTCAAGAAATACATTGCACTCTTTGTGACTAGACCAACGTTGGCACCCAGTGGGCTCTCTATAAATGTCTGATAAGATAATGAATGGTAGATTACATCACTGTGGGAAATAATTAGTCCATCACATCCGAAAATGAGAAGCTGTCTGGTAGTGTAAAAGAAAATCTGGAAAACTTTTCTTCACAAAAATCTGTGAACTACTAATTTCAAGTAGAAAGGCTGGCTAATCTTGATTTGCTTTTATATTTTTCAGCTTTGATGAATATTGTCCAAATCAACTCTCAAAGCAGTGAATCATTTTTCTCTGATTATAAACAACCTAAAAATCTTTCATGGAGCAACGTCTCCCTAGTAATTACATTTTTTTTTTGTCTGTGCTTGTCTTTATTGGTAGTGCTGGAGATTAAACCCAGGGTCTCACACTGGTAAGCACTCTACCAGTGAGTTACCCCAGCCTGCTGATAACATTGTTAATAGAGTGTTTCGTTAGTTATTTGTATTTGTGTATTTGTTTTTGTGATGCTGAGGGTGGAACTCAGGGCCTGGCACATGCTAGGTAAGCCCTTTACCACTGATCTGTGTTGCAAGCCCTTAACAGACTAGTGTGGTCATAAACTATACCATAAAGTTATCCACAATGGTGTCCTACAGTTTTCAAATCTTCTTTTATTTTATTTTTTAATTTTTTTGTTTTGTTTTTCTTCCGGTACCAGGAATCGAACTCATGACCTTGCACTTGCCAGATAGGCGCTGTGCCGCTGAACTAAATCCCCAGCCCTCAAATCTTCTTTTAGAAATTCATGTTTTCTTACAGTGCCGTGGTTATTGATGAGGAAACCACAGGCTTCTTTTTTGTTTTGCCAGGTAGTCTTCTGGCACTTGGAGTGGGCATAGTATTAAATTCTTGGGAATATTAAGTGGTCTGTTCCTCATTAGCACAGGATGATATATCTATTCTCACACGAAGAAGTCATGCATGGCTGGAGCTCAGAATGTCATACTGCTTTTTACTGCTAAACCAAGTCGGAGCAGCAGAAGCCACATCTTTTGGTAGCACCTGCCAGGCACTTGGGTGAGGGAAGGGGAAGGCTCTGCCGAGACCCTCGGGAACCCAATGCTGTCCTATCCAGAGGTAACAGGGAGACCAAATGTCCCTTCCCTTTATAAGGAGTAAAGTCAATATACATAATAAGAGAATAGGGAAAATTTCCCAGAGCAAATGCAATCCCTAGCTTGCTGAGTCATCATTAATGGCCATTAAAAGGAAGCAATAGAAAAACAGGATTTTACGATAAGATAGGAAAATGACTGGGCTTTTAAAAATGTATCTCTTTATGGAAATATTTCCAGATAAAGCTGGTACATGTGCTGAACTGACTCATACATTTCCTGTAGGTATATGTCATTTATTCACTTATATCTCTCTCTGTCCATCCGTCCTCTATCTAATCATCTATCTATTCCAACCAGAGTATTTGTAAGTCATTTCATTCTTTCCTTCACTTATAAATCTAGGTTGTTTTGGGCAGCACTATCACTAATGACAGATCTAGAAGATGGGGTCCATTCTCTCAGGGATCTTAGAGTTCCCTGGGAGAAAAGATGAAGCATTTCAGCCCCACACAGGGTGACAGGTGATATGAAAGCACTGAGCAATGGTGACAGAAAGGCTTGGAAATGGGATGCTGGGTGCAGGGAGGCTGACGGAAAAGATCTGACCGAGATCTAAAAGGTAAGTAATAAGAATTGCATTGGGGCTGGGGATTTAGCTCAGCAGGCAAAGCGCCTGCCTGGCAAGCGCAAGGTCGTGAGTTCGGTTCCTGGTACCGGAGGAAAAAAAAAAAAAAAGAATTACATAGATACTGGAGAGGAAATGTAGACAAACAGCATGGCATACACAAAACATGTTGTCATTTTTGTTCATTTATATTGACGGAGTAGCAGTTTAACAGAATCTACTCCTTTCCAGAAGACATGATATAAGAGTTCAATTAAAAATCACTTGTTGCATGGGGGTATACTCAGTGGTAGAGTGCTGGATTTAAATAGGCAACAGGCTGTAGAAGAGCTCAGTGCTTGCAGGTTCTGTCTCTGGAAGCACATTTTTGGGTCTGAATCATGACTCTTACTCCTTTCCAGCTGCCAATTTGGAGGATTAAACTTCTCTCTGCCTCAGTTTCCCTTTTTTCAAATTAGGAATAATAACTGTATGTCATATAGTAATATGTGAATTTATGCATGAAGCAATAGATTAGTGTCATATTATCCCTTTGCTTTAATAACATTATTGATGAACAATAATTGACTATGACAACAATATTGATATTATTAGTTATCTTTTGACAGGATGTCTGAGTACTGTCACAAATAAAGATTTATTACATTCAAAAGCCAGAAGATTCATCTTTCCAAAAAAAATTAAAACAGTTTGTATAAGACAGGAGGGGCAGGGGGCTAGGGATTTAGCTCAGCGGCACAGCGCCTGCCTGGCAAGTGCGAGGTCATGAGTTCGATTCCCAGTACCGGAAAAAAACAAAACAAACAAGCAAAAAAAAAAAGACAGAAGGGACACTAGGAATTCATTTAGATGCTTTGAGTCCAACTTCTGCTTTGCTATCCTTCCACCTGGAGACCTTTACCAAGTTGCTCAGCGCCTCTGCTATGGTTCTTTAGCACACATGCGGACACCAGTATCCCTCAAGGTGCTGCTGGAGTGTTCAGTGGGATGGCATGGATGCGACTGGACCATCGAAGGTTTGTCTTGTCATGCAGTAAAGCTCTGCACATGCTAAGAAAATATAGATATGGCTAATCTAAGCGTGATGAAAAACATCTTTCCCAAAATACGTCCGATAGTTTGAGAGATCGCATATAAATATTCTCATCTGCATGCGCCGACTCTGGAAAGCACTCCTGAATGTTACTGCTGACTTTGATAGCCTGCCTTTGCATCTTTGCCAGAACTTGCTCTCTGGTTGCTGCTATTCATAGAATGCCCTTGGATAATGTGATAGGTTGCAGTGAAACGACTGCTCCAATCATTCTGGGGGTAGTAATAATGGGAACTAAAATGGTCAGCAGGAGAATGAACTAAGCTTAGACATCTAATAAAATCTCTCTCTATATATATATACTTTGTCCTTAGAATAACCTAAAAGAAGATAACATAATCCTCTATGAGTAGATAAGCATTAAACATGCTAACATAAAATAAATTTCCTGGGCACAGATAATATATGCTTTGAAAGACCACTAATCTTGCATGGGATACAAATTTAAAATGACTCAAAAAATCTAAATGGTAGGAAAACAGCACTAAGTTTTTTACTGGATTTTTTTTTTTTTTTTTAAATTGCAAATACTGCTATAGGGCTGAGAAGCCAGCCTACTGAAGCAGTATGTATAGCCTGGCTTTCAATAAATTCTACCTATCATCGTGTTGCGAATACTCTCAAAATCTTTGGTGTCTCAAACATCTTTGCTACTCTGCCTCCACATAACAATTACTTAATACTGGTACATCTAAGGCCAGGGCTTGTTAGTCTGCCTGAAGGAGGGCAGAAGTTCCAGGGTGGCATAGCTTCTATTTTATTAATTTTTTTTTCTTGCCTGCAACCTGATTTCTTGTGGGTCTGACCTAATTCCTTTGATGCCTGGGGCTTGGAGGCCAGTGCTAATCTGCATTGTAGTGGAAAGGTGGGACAATTGAAAGAAAAATAAAGGAAATAAAGCAAAACATTCAACCAATCAAAATAAGTATTATACAAACAGAACCTTTTTTGTTTTACTCTATCTTCTATAGAGAAACCTAAATTTAACACATGGTTTCAAATACATGTTTCACCTCTGTCTTAATTCATTTTTAGATAGCTAATAAAATATTTTGTGACTAGTACAGGAAAAGAAAAGAAAAGGCACTAGCTGAATGCTAATTGTTAGGATGGTAAAATGAATTTCAGTGTAAGAAAAAAAATATCTGTTTTTGAGAAATATGTCCTGCCCTAGAACTCATAATGATGGAAAAGATTTGCCCTGACTCTCACGGAGGATAGTCTAAGCTTTGTTGTTAAGCTTTGGAACGTGATGAGATTCAGAGTTTCCTAGACCTGTCAACTAATTTATTGTTCCCAGGTTCTTTTTCCCTTTGGGAAGCGGGTTCTTCTTTCTGCTCAAATATGCGT